AGTAGGGGGGGATTTACTCTTCCAAGTTTGATGTATCCTTGGACTTTGTGAAATCTTTGTTGTTCTATAGAACCAAATTCCAATAAGATATATGGAAATTTGTAGTTGTGAAATTCAAAAAATTGACCCCCCATCCCAAAAAAAAAACCCTTCAAGTTCTGTATTATAATTTTCAAGGGAATCACCATGACCATGTGCGTTCTGTATGTTGTCCTGCTGTATCTAAACACAAACGCATAAGGTCACACCGCCCTTCGCCATTTCTATGAAACTCAAGAAGTTTTCGATACGTCTTCCATCTTCCAGTTAAAACACGGCGAGTTCACGAGGAATCATTTCAACAAGCCAATGGCAGAAGGACAGAAACATGAGAGCAGTGGAGAAGGCACCGTACCTTGGGTAATCTCTCCTGGTCTCCAGGGTGTCTTGGGATGACCTTCTGTAATCTCTGGAAGCCGTAGTCTATTGTCGGCTCGTTTAGTGCTAAAATAAAAAAGAGAAATAAAGATTTTATTTTCACCCTTAACAAGAAAACCAAACAACGTTTAACCGAGAACGTTTCCCTGACATCTGACTTAACCAGTTGTAGACATAAAACCATGCGTGGCGTTAATGTAGCGACTCTCTGTTAGGTCTGCTGTGTGTCTTTGTTAGTCTGTAATATAATGAATCTCTTTCTGTCTCCTGCTTTGGTGGTTAATAAAAAGACTGTCAGGAATCATGCGGGGGTGAATACATTTGAGTGCATGACTGTGTATGTGTGTCTTGTGGTCTTGCGTTGATCAGCGACTAATATAAGCAATTACAGAGCTTGGTTCCAATATAACAAAGGCTTGATCGCTCCGGGGAAGGAGCTAAACACACACACACCGCCACACACACGTGGAGAGTGAGCTCATCCTGGCAGTGGGGAGAAAGCACTCTATCCGTATGCTGTGGTCGTACAACGGTAATTGAATATGAGAAGATTTACCATGAATATTTAAACATTAGAATAAATACAATGAAGATCTGAGGCTTACAGTACAAACACTTCAGAGGAGGAGTGTTGGATAAGTGCTCTCTCCACATAATTCATTCCTAATGTACTTTCTCTGCCTATCCGTCTGTCTCCTCAGTTTTTGAACCCTCTTCCCTCTCCTCTGGGAAGTCAACATGAGGTCTTGACTACTTTTCATGGGAGTAGCCCTTTAAGGTCACTGCAGCTCCACAGATTTCCCAATCGCCTGAGTCCTTTTGGGCTCATATTGGTGCTGGGAGACAAAGAAAAGCAACTATTATTCGCTGGAAATCGCCTTCATGCGTTCGTCCCATCCGTCTGTTTTCCCTGTGGGTCGCAGCGCGTTTCCTGAGGGCTGATGCCTCGCTCGCCTCACATCTGAGCAGCCGGGCTGACTAGGCGGCCCCCAAGATATACAAAAAAAAAAAAAGAAACCCCCAGAGGGTATGAGTACAAGCTGTCCTGCTGAACCTCTAGTGATTTCACCATTGCTTTACTGCTGCGCACACACACACACACTTGAACTAAAGACAGGAGGCAAGAATAGGTGATGCTCTCCTTTGGCAACACAAACATATTTGGACAGCTCTCCCTGTGGACTGCTCCTAGTAATCCATAAGAGTGAATGAAAGGAAAGGTGAACAGCCAGACGTGAAGACACCAGAGGGAAGAAACGAGGAAAAGTCCCAGAGCCAGGGGCAGACTCAACTTCCCAAGAAGGACACATGATCCTGGATGCCCCACAAATAAAACAAAACACAACGACACGATCGCACGCATTGAAAACAGCTTGAATTATCACCGGGGACAAATATTTGACATTACTTCCCTATTGTCTGATCCCTGCACAGCCTAAAGGAGGATTTGCCCTGGATTAGAGCCCACCGGAGTCTGAGGGGAAGGGGGGGTCGGGGTGCTTCAGCAACTTCCTCTGTTTCTTCTCAAAGGCTTTTGTTTTTATGATGAATTTTTTATCAGTTCAGCTCAATGTGCCAAATGAGCCTCGAGTGAACAATAGCATAAAAACCCTAGGACATACAGGATACCCCTATTACAAATAAAGACACAATTCTGGTAATTGAGAGAGGAAGTGATATTGTCTCTGCTCGTTTTCAAGGACCATAAAATAGAGGAGGCACAACTCGCTTACTATCTTTCCTGCATCTCTTAAGGGATCTTTTTTTTTTATGCCCTTACAGGTGCGTCTGCATAATTTACAACATCTAAAAAATATTTTGGGCAGCGAAACCCCTTTTTTATTATTTTGATTTATCGCACAGAACATGAATAGTTCAAGCAATTATTCTTGGTGATTTTCTATGATTATAGCATAGATGTGATGGAAATGATTAGTTTCTCTGAATGTTTGACTACTATAAAGATAAATGACCTTAAATTTGTCTAGTTCTAGGAAACTGGGTTAGCCATAAAGGGTTATTGCTGAAGAAGCTGGCTTTGAAAGCTTGATTTGCATTGTAAAACAAAAAAAGGAATTTCAACCTGTTTTTCAAGGTTTAATTTATTTCGTAACTGCAATCATTACAATTTGTACTATTTTTGTGTAATTTATATATTTATATATACATCCTGATCTCGCGAACTTTCAAGGTTTAACTCGCAGATCAGTCTGAAGACTCTCCGTTAAAGAAAATTTGGAGCCGTTCACCAAACGAACGTCCAATCAGCGTTGGCTTTGAGGCGGGTTGAGGTGTGACGCAACGAGAAGTGCGACAGTTCAGTCTAAAGAACATGGCGGCTTCAGCCGATGAAACTAGCGTTAGCGTGGCTATCGAGCAAGTTTTATCGGAATTACAGAGTATTTCTTCACTGAAAGAAGAGCAAAACACTGCTCTGGAGGCTTTTCTCAGAGGAAAAGATGTTTTTGCTTTTCTCCCGACTGGTTTCGGCAACTGTTAGTACGTCATATGCTTCGTTGATCTGATTGGTTTATTTGGCCCGTCTATCACCAACATAGGCCAATCAGCTAACCAGTATTTTCGCCCCTTCCCAAAATTACTTCAATGGAAGGTTTCCAGATGGATATGTGGAGCAAATCCATCTGGCGGAGTCACCTTATTGGTTCTCTGATTTGAGCATATTTTTTTTTGGGTTCCTCTATCCACCTCGCACTTTATCGTATCAATCAATTTCTAAAAGTTACAATCCTTATAACTTTATTACTACATTTTCTGAGACTTCTAGGTTCTGCCCTTTCTGCATGCAATTTTTTTTTTATCGAAACTGGTTCTAACACCATTCAATATCTTGATTCTCACATACATCTATATGCTGATGACTCTCTGATCTATACTTAAGGTTTTTACCTTTTTATTAGAGTACTTTATTTTTGAAGGCTAGCTTTTATAATGTCCATTAAGTTGTGTCCAGTTTATAATTAAGTTTGAAATACATGTAAAACACAAATCATTGTGTTTTATATAAATCCACTAAAAGTTGAGTGCCCTTTCAAAATTATTTTGTCATAACAGAAAAATCTGCCTTAAAACCCACAGAAATCTTAAAGCTCTGCTTCCACACCTGCATGCAGCAAGAAGGAATAAAAAAACACAAAAAAACGAGCCATGACAAAGGAAAGGGTCTCCCATGAACCCATATATATACTTTCGATGTATACATATATCGTAAGCAAAAACTATGAATATTACACAATGTTACCCAGAGCTCTACGTGGCTGAAACTGCAGCTTACTGTAGTTCTAAGCATAACTGTATCCATAAACAACTGGATTCAAAGACCTGTGGTGTATATATATGAGTGTGTTTGTGTATATAAGGTATATAAAGCTCCTTTGGCAGGAAGATATGCTCAAAAGCAGGTGTGAGGGGCCCCAGACCCACCCCAAAGGTTCCAGAGCTTAAACTCATAAAAACAACTTACAGGATTAATTCAATTTAATTAATGGCCTTTAATGGCTCGACCAAATCCTCATTTATTTGTATGTTATAAGTTTTAATTTTGCTTAATCCATTGAATATTCCTTGCTGACCGGACTTTTCCTTTAGTTCTATATAAATACAGCCTAACTGATAACTTCTGATTAAAATGACCATGCTTCTAATTTTTGATTGATGTCTTAGGCCCCGTCCACACGAAGTCAAAACGAACACGAAACGCTAATATTTTCCAGAACGTTTGT